TCGAATCCCTCCTCAAGGATCCTTCGTGCCTGTGGCTTCACACGCCCGCGGGAAAGGCTCAGGAGTTTTTCAGCGAGCTCGGTCCGTGCCCACTGAGAGCACAAGGCGTAGCTTTCTCCATGGCGACGAGCGATTCGGAGGAGAAACAGCTTCTGCAGTCCAGAGAGGCAAGAAAGACCTCGGGCACTCGGACGCTGGTGTAGATACGGAGAGCTTTTTTCAGGTCACTAGATGCTTCCCCAAAGGTTGATGCCTGGAAAGGTTTGTGGCTCATGGTGGCAAAATATGTTGAGATATGGAGAGGCCGATGGAGAGCGAGAGGGAGAGAGAGATAACATATATATATATACACACTATACTTTACATATGATACATATTATTCATAGACTAGTTATATATTACTTTTTCAGCCTGGCACCCCGCAGGCGACAGTCTCAGCGGCAGAAGATTCATGCAATTGGGCAGTGATTCTGGGAACGCTTCTGGCAATAGGTGTGCTGGTGAGTTTGTTTGTGGTGATCTTCAGTGCATTTGTGACCCTTTGGTTGTGGCCAATCTTGGGGGTTCTTCTCCTCGTTGGTCATGGCCTACTTCTTTTTGCCGTTGCTGACTCACAAACAAGACTCGCAACGCCGGCAAAGCTCTCTGCCGCAGCGCTCTTCCTTGAAGTCTTGTGCTATGTCTTCTTGGTGCCGACCTACCTCTTTCGTTCCTTCATTGTACCCTGGTGGTGGTGGAATGCTTCAGTGATCCTGTTCGTTCTGCCATCATTGATCTTGCTATGGGTGACCATTTGCCAGTCCCTGTGTGGCACAACCGTGGAGAAGTGCTCGGCAGGGGGTCTCATGGTGATCTCCCTGGTCATCCTTCTAGTTGGAGTGCTGCTTCTTGTTGCAGGGAACTTCTCTCCCACCTGGCTCTTGATGACACTGCCGTCATCGCGATTGGTGGAAGAGATCCAAACAATTCGTAATTATGTGCAAATGTCCAGTGCTAAATTGGATGTGACGGTGGGATATGAGATTTGTGACATGGCCACCTCCGAGTGTAGCATGAAGAAGTTCGTCGGTTGGACTGTGGTGAAACCAGGTGCACCGTCAAAAACAAGTTGGAGATATACCAATGCAGTGTTGGGGAGGTTTGCTAGTGCCGCAGGTTGGAGTAGTTTTCAAGCACACGAGTAGCGCTCTTTTTCTGGTCGGTGAAAGGCATCCCAAAAAAGAAACCAGACTGTCAGGTGGAGCTACTGCTTGCCTAGATGGAGACTTTGAATTCGTAGTCTATCCTGGTGATCCTGGCAGACTCCTTTTCCATTTGCATGGTGGAGGCGCTTGCTGGAACTGGATGACCTTCCTCCTGGGCAAGTGCACCAAGAAGTCCCCCATGAAGCCGACGGGCATCTTCAACGTGACCAACCCAAATAACCCCTTCTACAACTGGACCTTGGTTGATGTGCCGTACTGCTCAGGGGACGTGTTTAGCGGTGCGACGGAGAACTTCTGGATCATGCCACAGCAAACGGCCAGTGCTTGGAAGTCTCAGGCAGGATACGCCAACGTGAACTCGGTTCTGGACTGGGTCAAGGTCCAGTTTGCTGGAGCTGTGCCAGCCTTGAGGACAACTTGTAGCCGGAGTGGGGCGCAGTTTCATTCATAGTGTAGAACCTACCATGGTGCACAGGCCCTTTTTCATGTTCCACATTGTGCGCACCACCGTGGAAGAACAGCAACATGAGATAGCGCCTCGATGCAGCCTTTCAGCCTCGATGCCCCAGAAAAGCAGTAAGAACTCACGTGTCTTTGGCCATACCACTTTCATACTTAATTGTATATACTAGTAGTATATATATATATATTGTGTGTTTGTTCCTACTGTAATACCTATTTGTTTGCCCCCTCAAATGCGCTCTATTTACCCTAATGACTGCAATCGTTTGCAGACTTGGCCCTGGTATCTTTGCAAAATCTGTGTTCCTCAGATTGTTGGTCACTTAAACTTTGTTCGGCTGTTCTTCTGGGCACAGGTCGAGGCGAGAATTCATGTCCTGCACAGCATGTCTTTCCCATCGAACCCACACTCCTGCAGGACTCTGTCCTAGTTCGTGGTGGCAGGTGAGTCCGCCGGCAGTTTGGGGGTTCAGCTTTGGGCCACTAACCTTCTACGTCGGCTGGAGAGCCACTATGAGCCTGAGAACACCATCCTGATCGGCGATTCTTTTGTGGGGGCCATCCCAGGAGACACGGATCTATTTCAACGTCAGGTGATGGAATTTTGGGGCGTTTGCCAGTCTGGTGTGGTTCCTGAGGAACTCAAGCCAGAGTGTACACCAGACCGCCTGGTCATGACAGACTTCCCAGAGACCACCATGCAGCTGTTCCCCTCAGTCCGCTACATGATGATCGGCAGCAAATTCGATCAGGTTCAAATGGCATTCGGTGATTTTGTGATTGTTTTTGACTACCTATGGACTCTGCTTTGGAAAGGCATTGATAGCATACCGCTTTTTTCCAATGCAACTTTCTACGAGCAACTCAGCGGGGACTTACTGGTATACTCGGCCTACAAGCAGTTCTCCGCATACCTCGTGGGTGCCAAACAGGATACCTACACAATCTGGCCTCTCTACTTCATTCGGAGCACTACTCCCGCTGGGCCATTTGATGATTGTAGCAGCCCATATGTGGGGGAGCGGTTGCTCGAATGGCTCAGCCCGCATAGTGAGGAGAAGGCCTCATACCAATGCTACAACACAGAAGAGGACGCCCCAAATTGGACTGCGCATTACTGCGACCACATGTTGCCATGGCAAGTTGGAAGATGCGAACCCAGCAACTAGTGAGCGCGGAGGTCAGAAGTTGTGGAAGGTATGTCGGCAGTTCCTTCCAATAGTTTGAACTTTTGGGCCGCTCCACTCTTCAGTGTCGAGTGCAAATCTTCGGAAATTCATCCATTCCCCAGCAATTATATATGCCGCAATTGAGTGATATTGGATGCAATTCCTGGACAACAGGTCCAGATGAACCTGTGATATATGATACTGTAAAGTATTGTACAGTAATACGTCGCAGCCACTGGTAGTGCCGTTCCTATTAGTATATAAGTGGCTTTGGCGTTGGCAAGTGCCCTCAGGGGTGCCTGAGTTTTGGAAATAAGGAAGACCTAGAAACGAGGCCTTTAAAAGAAGACCCCGGACTGCTCAAGCGATCAAAAAGCCGCTTGAGCAAACACTCACTGTTTGCGGAGACTTCCCGACTGTTCCAAGAAGGAATCTACACTGTGGTGCTTTGCGTGGCAGATTGAGGAGAGAATTGCCTTGAATTGCCTAGGTTTAAACCATCTTAACCGATGATTTGGATGACCAGGCTGTTGCAGCTATTGGCTGGTGGCAGCTGGAACAAGCAAGACATTCAACGGTGGCAGATTTGTCAGAGATGCATGCCGCACGGAATTGAGACCTGGAATGTATAGCCGTAGCTCTTCAAGCCATTTAAAGCCCCCCCAAGCATTTGGTGCATACAAATCAAGTCGCAGCAGGCACTGTCCAGAGAAACCTTCAAACCCTCGCAGGTCTTCTCTGATTTGGTGTTCATGAGCTGGAATTGCTCAAGTTCCGAGCCAGCGCAGCCGCAGCCTGATGCAGCACGTTGGTACAGGAATGTTCCGGATCGAGGCCGGAGGAATTCGTGCAGCTACTGTAGCTAGATGGAAGCACTGCAAGATACACTGGGAGCAATTTATGGATTGCAGATAAGATCAGCAATCAATCGGGCCCAAAAAATCGTTGGTACCAGGGATTTGTGGAGCATCGGGTTGGTTAGAGACACGTTTAGACCAGGGCATGCCCAAACAACGGGCTGGGATTGGCGCTGCGATTGAACTATTGCAGCCTGAGCGCAATTCGAGTTGAGAGAATCACCAGCATCCACCAGGGCTACAAGACGAACAATGTGGAGTTTTCGGAGTTGTTTGAAGCATTTTGAAGCAATTGCAGTATATTGGTACTCTCCTTCCAACTACTTTGCACTCACCTGCAAGAAAGAACCAATCGATACTCTTTCTTGCAGGTTGCTACGCTAGTTGTTGGTATGGAGGGAGCATTGCCGTGATATTGGTACGGCTCCCGAGTCTCAAACATTGGCCATAATGAAGCCCCGGTTCATCGCATAATGGCAAGGCTGGAGAAGATGCGTGAGCGGGAGAGGACGGACTCAGGTGGTGGCAGGTAGATCAGCCCTTTAAGCCTCCAACTTCCAAAGGTATCTTCAAGATGTTTTCACTTCAGATGTTGCCATGGCTGGACAGGGTCCTCCAATGCCGATGGACAAACGCACCATCCGTGTCGCGGTTTAGCATGTTCCATCTAATATATCATTTAAACTATTTGTTGGTGTGGCACTTTGCGGCTGTTGCGGTGTAGTGCAACAAGCACGTGCTGAGAAGTCTCATGCACTTAAACGGCTAACTGTACTATCAGCGGCGCAGTTGAGGACTTCCATCCCTCGTTCCATCAGGTCATAGGAATGCACATGTGATGTGCACATGTGATGCGTTTCTAACG